AGTGGACTTCTTCATGTTGTTCCTGATCTTAGAGGAAAGGCTTTCAGCTTTTTTTTCCATCAAGGATAATATTGGCTGTGGGTTTGTCATACATGGCTTTTATTGTGTTGATGTATATTTCTTCTACTCCAAGAATTTCAAGGGCCTTCATCATGAATGGATGCTGAAGTTTGTTGAATGCCTTCTATGCATCAATTGATGATTATAGGGTTTTTTATTTTTCTTTCTGTTGATGTGATGGATACAGATTTTTAGATGTTGAACCATTCTTGTGTCCCTGGAATAAATCCCACTTGGTCGTGGGATTCTTTTGAAGCATTGTTGGATTCTGTTGGCTAAGATTTCATTGAAGATTTTGGCACCAGTGCTCAATAGGGAGACTGGCTGAAGTTTTGTTTTTGTGTGTTGTCTTTGTTAGATCATCTGGTTCTGGTCTTTTGTTCTTAGGAGAGGGAGAGTTTAATTGCTGCTTTAATTTCACTATTTGTAATTAGCCTGTTTAGGTGTCCTATTTCTTTTTAGCTAGTTTTGTATGGTTGTAAAGTTGTAGGAATTTGTGCATCTCTTCTAGATGCTGTTCTAACTATTGCTGTTCATAGTATTCTCTGATTATTCTTTTGATTTGTGATGTGTATTGTGATTACTTGTTTTTCATTTATGATCTATTTATTTGTGCTTTCTCCTGTTGTTGTTGTTGTTTTTTTCCTTTGTGAACCTGGCTAAGCATTTGTCTATTTTGTTTACTTCTTTGAAGAACCAACTTTTGGTTTTATTTATTTTTTTATTTTTGGATTATTTTCCTAACTCCCTTTTTTTTTTTTTTTTTAAGATTTTATTTATTTATGCATACAGTATTGGGATACAGGCCAGAGGTTCAGGGGCCATGAGAGGCTTTACCAGAGACAGCAGAGTAGGGAACAGAACCAGCAGATTGACAAAGTACACTGCTGAAGGGAACAGCAGGTGGGTCAGGAGAGGTCTGCTGCGCCCTGTGGGTCACCTCCAGTGCAGGGATCAAGCTCACACTGAATGAAGCAGCTGCACTAGCTTGCAGTGCTTCATCCTAACCCATTGCACCACCAGGAAGGGCCTGTTTTCCTGACTTCTATTTCATTTATTTCTCCTTTGACTGTTATTATTTCCTTTGTTCTGCTGGCTTTTGGGTTTTTTTTTTGTTGTTGTTCTTTTCCCAGTTCTTTACAGTGGGAGATTAGGTTGTTTCTTTGATTTGCGTCTTGTTTCTATATGTGAGCATGTATTGCTATATATTTTCCCCTTATAACTGCCTTTAATGTGTCATTCTTTTTAAAGGCATTTTATTTCATTTCTGCTTTGATCTCATTGATCCAGAGGTCCTCCAATAATGTGGGTTTCACTTCTTCACAAGATAGGAGGGTTTCTTGCCTTATTCACATGGTTTATTTCTAGTTTGAGTCCTTCATAGTCAGAGAAGATAGTTGGAATGATTTTGATCTTAGTGTATTTATTGACATGTGTCTTGTGTCCCAGTATGTCATCTTTGAGAATGATTCATCTGGATTTGAGAAAAATATGTACTTGAATTTTTTGGGGTACAGTGTTCTATAGTTTCTGTTAAGCACATGAGGTCTAAGTCCTTTTTTAGAGCTTTAGTGTCCTTGCTTATTTGTCTTTTTCTGTCCATTGTTGAGAGAAAATACATATTTTCTCTTAATGTATGTTTTCATAGATGACAATAGTTTCCTGATATATTTTGGTGTTCCCTCATTTAGTGCATATATGTTGATGAGTATTATGTCTTCTTGCTGTTTTGTCCCCTTAATTATAATGTAGTGGCCCTCTGTTTCTCTTTAAACCATTTTTTTTAAAGATTTATTTATTTATGCTTACAGAACTGGGGTACAGGCCAGAGGTTTGGTGGGTGAGAGGATTCACCAGAGACAGAGTAGGGAGCAGAACAGGCAGATGTACTGAAATATACTGCTGAGAGGAGCAGTGGGCAGGTCAGGAGAGGTCTGCCACACCATATGGGTCAGCTCCCTGGCGGGGGATTGAACTCATGCTGCAGCAGCTTCAGAGAGCTTCATAATGTGGTGCTTTAACTCGTTGTGCCACCAGGGAGAGCCCCTCTTTTAACCTTTTTAGTTTGAAGTCAATATTATGTGACATAAGTATAGTTTGGGAACAATGAGTTAGTACAGAGGTTGGTTGGATTCCTTGTTTGTATTGTGGTTTAAGTTTCAGTGATACCATGCTGTCACTACTGCAGCCAGGAGCTGACCCACATGGCACAGCAGACCTGTCTTGCCAGCTATTCCACTCAGCAGTGTAGTTAATACAACTGCCTGTTCTGCTTCTCACTCTGTCTCTGGTGGATCCTTTCTGTCTTACCACCATCCACCCTCCCCACCCCCACCAAACACACACACACACACCTCTGGGCTACATCCCAATTCTTCTATGCATAAGTAAATAAATATTAAAAGGAAAAAAGGGAGAGAATTTCTACTGCTACATATGTTTGTCACACAATATGTGGTACAAAGTTTGGTGCATCCTGTACAATACAAAACACACTCAAACTAATGAACTCTCAGACTTCCTGCTCTTCTGACCTAGACCACTGCCTTTGCAGGGATGGTGTCATTTGAGGACGTGGCCGTGAACTTCACCTGGGAGGAGTGGCAGGACCTGGACGATGCTCAGAGGATCCTGTACCGGGATGTGATGCTGGAGACCTACAGGAGCCTGGTGTCCTTGGGTGAGTGACATTTCTCTCTAACAATGGCAGTACAGTCCAAATAGACAGGGGCGATGAGAGGCTTCACCAGAGACAGATATGGAGCAGAAGAGGCAGATTAACTGTATACTGCTGAGGGTCAGTGGGCAGGCCAGGAGAAGTCTGCTGAGCCATGTGGGACCCCTCCCTGTCCGGGAATCAAATTCATGGAGTAGCTGTGGTTAGCTTTGTAGTGTTGTGCTTTAATCTGTTGCGCCACCAGGGAGGGCATATATATTTTTTTAATATTTATTTTTATTTATGAATACAAAAACTGAGGTGCAAGCCAAGGTTTGGGGGTTGAAAGGAGTCACCAGAGACAGAGTGGGGTGCAGAACAGGTGATTCTGAAATAGACCACAGAGTCTTGACAGGCACCATCTGTTGTGCCTATGCATATTAGCTCCCTGGCCAGGGTGGTGTAGGCCATAGGTGTGACAATGGTGACCCATAAACCCTAGGCCACCAGGAAGGTCCACAAGGACTGTTTTCATTATGGTAAATGTACAAAGTTTATAAAATTAGATGTTATTTTATTCATATTAAAATTTAATAAATAATAAACATTTTAAAGTTAAATGCTTAAGATAAAGCCAACAAGATTATGAGTATACCGTTCTCTACTACAAGCTCAAATTTGCCTCTATTAAACAACTCTTTAAAAAAAATAATCAAGGGGCCCTTCTTGGTGGTGCAACTTGTTGAAGCACAGCACTATGAAGCTGTCTGTAGCCGCTGAAGCACGAGTTCAATCCCTGGGCATGGAAGTGGCCCACATGGCATGGTAGACTTCTCCTGTTCTGCTCCCCACTCTGTAGCTGGTGAATCCTCTCACCCCTTGCACCTCTAACCTGTACCCCAGCTCCTATATGAATAAATAAATTTTTACAAAAAATTGATTATCAATTTCTTATAGAGATTGATGTAAGTATCTGCAGTTGTTGGCCTCAGTCTCAGCTCCTGCCTTTGTTCTGATGGAAGTAATCTGTTGAAGAATTCAAAAGGATTTTGCATTGTTTATGAATCCTCATTTGAAAATGATCCCAGTCTAAGGATGTTAACCAATCATAATTTTCTTGTGATGCTCAGAGTTTTGTTAGCTTTGAGCCTGTCCTTTCATGTTGAAGTTCCTTTCCTTTGCACCTTTGGCATATGCTGTCCCCAGAGTTTCCTGTTGGGCTGCTCAGAATAATTCTAACATGTATTGCCATATCTGGTCCCACAGGTATACCTTTAGTATCTTTCAAAACCATGACTGTAGAGCAGCTTCTAGACTGACATTGATACCTTGATGGGAATGAATATAGGTGAATCTTGAAGAGGAGCAAGAGGATTATACCCCTTGCACAGCTGCAAACTAGTCTTCCACACACACAAAAAAGTCAAACAACTCCTAAAACTCTGCTGTTGTCATTTTTCAAAGGCCATGAACCTCACAGGCTTGGTCCCTGTCCTTCTGTATTTCTTAAACCAGATCGTTGTATTATGAAACCTGCAGTAATCATCTGGTTGGAAGCAGTAGCACACCTGTGGACTGCAGAGAACCCCCCAAAACAGAGCCTCCCAGGTCAGTCAGTGCATGCTGGACTGGGAGGGTGGAAGGGCCAATTCCAAATAATAGTGGCCACTTGCACCTATTTATTAGTAATGGGTTTTCCCAGTTCCAGGCTGTAGGAGACTGTCTCCTTGTGTTATAGGAGAGACTACATATGTGTAATGGATGTGGGGAAGCCTGTGAACTGTCAGTGTCCGCTACAAAATAGAAACTGTATAAAGTAAACACACTAAGGATGCAATAAATAGGAGAAAGTATTTTCTGAGAAACCAACAAAACCAACTTTTTACAGGTGTTTTGAATAGAAACATCATAAATGTAATCTAAGTCAGAATAATTATGGGGACAAATTACAACATTCTCTGTCAGAAACACAGAAAAGAAAAATTTCTATATGATTTATATGTTAAGAGTTTCTGTTCTAACTAAAGTTTATACAATACAAACAGGTGAGCAGCCATTTAAGTGTTGGAAGACCTGTGAGAATGCAACCCTTAATAAACATTGGAGAACTGTTACGGAAGAGAAGAAATCTTATGAGTATAAAAATAGCATAAAAAGTTTCCCCTGGAAGCCATACTTCAAGGGACATCAGCCAATCCACACAGGTGGAAAACCCAATGAATGTAAAGAATATAGGAAATTTTCCTTGAAGGAGTCAGCCCTCAAGAAACATCAGATCACTGACATGGAAAAGAAGCCCTATGAATGTAAAAAATGGGGACAAACTTTTAACAGAAAGTTATATATCAGTAAACATGAGTGCACTCATAGTGGACAGAAACACTATGAATGTAAAGAATGTAGGAAAACCTTTTTGTG